TTGGAAAGTTCCCACGTTAACATGGAAGATTCGAAACGAAACGTGGAATGAAACGTTCTTAATCAATTGCGATTTGCTCGCATGTTTCTCTCACTGTTAGACAGATCTCTCGTAACAGATACAAATTTCGAGAAATTCCGCGATAGAGAGGCCATTGAAGAGAGTATTTAATCACGTTGTTCGCAGTAGGCAGAAAGAACGCGAAATAACGTGTTCCTTCCGCGGTGAAATCATCGAGAGATGGATGCTGCACTCGCGTGTTCTGTCGTGCCGGATGAATCGAAATTATCTCAGCCGAAATAGGATAGCGGCTAAATTCGTGGCGTTCGGGGACGCTGGATTTCAATTGAAGTCGCGGTTTCCTTAGCGGTCAGGTACGTCATGCCATATTCGTCGTTGTTGACGCTTTCGTTAATGGACCGGTGGATTTTATCTCACTCTCACTCCTGGTGATATTTAGATATTCGGACGATATCTGGACTGCGAAATTTCTGACCTGATATTTTCGTAAGAAAAATTAGCAACTGTATATACGTACATGAATTATGACTGAATAACAGTTCTCTTTCGCTTTCGAGAAGGCAGTTTGCTAATTCGTTTACGTCCGTACAGCTTGAAATTGACATAACAAATGATCCCCGAGTTTAGTTTTGACAATTGAATTCGGTAAGAACTCTCTTGTAAGAACCGGAATTCTTTTTATCCACGTGTTTCGCCATGCACATTTTCTTATACTGTAGGTCCTTAGAACCGAAAATGAGGGTTATTTTTCATAGAAATAAATGGTTTTAAAAATTCAGCTGTATGGACATTTGGATTAATCTTATCGTTAGAAATATAAGAACTTATGATCTTATTGGCTATAGTTTCATGCACTGACAGGACAATTTATCTAATCCACGCTAATTTCTTTGTAAAAAAGAAAAACTGGTGGTTTTTTCGCCCAATCGTATATTAAATTCATATATATTCATTATTAGAACACGTATTAGTCTCAGATAAAACGTGATAATTTCATATAAAATTTCATAAAATTATAGATATATATATTCTACATAGGAAAACTAAGTAAAATATATCAAGGGAATCTTTTGAAAATTCGAAATCACAATATTTAGAAAAAAATCTACTTTACTTTAAATATTCGAAAGAGCAATGCCAATCACTAATGACTGTCGTGATAGTTAATTTATTAATATTACTATCAAAATTGATAAAAATTGCAAAAGTTTTAAACCAGATAATAATTTTTAATCATTCCTGAGAATAATCTCGCTTCAACAATATGTATTAATATTGATTGTTGAACAATGTGCCTAGATTCCAAAATGTCCATGCCTCAAACGCTTTATATTCGCGACAAACGACCCGCGTTTTCCACTTCGGTAATTTTAAACATCCCTTAAGGAAGAAAAAGTTTCATTTTAACCGAATACTTTGCAGCTCAGATACTTCCAGCCAGATTTCCTCCCCTCTGTTTTTCTAGCGTTCTTTCTCGCGTTTCTTTCAACATCGATCACTTACCAGATCGATTAATTAACCGCGCAGGAAATAATGGAGAGATAAGAAAAGGAACGAAGAAAACCATGGCGCGATGGCTCACGACGAGAATAAATCGTGGGTAAAGACTTCGCTAATGAATTACAACGTCGCTTTATATTTTTTCCTAATTAATGGGCGCCATCTATTACGCGCGAAAGCATCGGTGAATTGCTTCGTTTCGCCGTCGTTCGTTCCTCATCATCCTCTGTTGTGCGCCTTTGGCTTCTCCTCTCCTTCTCCGTTCCTCATTTCTCTCTGGTCGCTTCAACTTCGCTACAAACGATCCTCTAGCGACTATTATTCCAGGTGTTGCTGAGAAATTGAAACGAACAAACGGCACTGTCGGAGATCGTTTGAAACGGCAGTGCTCGTGGTTACCACTTAATTCATCGTGCTCGCGTTCGATTCGCATTCACGGTCCGCTGGTATCGACGATTGACGTTCACAGCCACCTCACGAAAGTATATGAATACTTGTCACAAAACATTTTTTTTATAAATATACATGTCGTATATATTACATCGAATATTGTTGCGATTTTGTAACGAGTTGACTAGTATTTGTACTTTTCGAAAATATAATTCAAACAAGGGAGTTTGTGGAGAAAATTGTTTAATTGTTTTAATTGAATGTTATAAGAAGCAATATGTTCTGTATATTTTTATATTGCTTATATATAATTTAGTGGCTTGGTCACAAAAATATTTGAACGTTTGTCACGTACGTATGTATCTAAGTTTGTTGAAATTTTATAAGGATATGATTGAAAATATAATTTTATTAGGATACGATCTCTATGCAAATGCATATTTTTGAGAATATGATTGGAAGGAGAGAACCTAGATAGAAAGTTGTTTTCGTATATTTTATATTTATTTTATAGGTACGGTGTGCAATTTTTAATTAAATTTTTTAAATAAAATTTCATTGTTTATGAAAATTAGTATTCTATCCCATGTTGAGACTTATTTATTAAATTTATGTAAACCAACAAGTATCTTACAGTTTCTACTTCAAATTCTTTTGTTCCAAAGTATATCAATGTAATCACAATAGTCATATCTCGTTACGCGAAATATCTATGTACGATTTTTAACAGATATTGAAACAATTTACGTGAATCGTGAGGAAAAAATTAGAACTCATTGGAGTCGTTCTTAACCAAAGTAGAATTTTATTAATAACAATGTTCGTTTCATTCACCCGACTTGTTCGAGCAGTAAGAAGGAAACGATGTAATAACGAGGCCCTCGTTACGTCATATTAAACGCAGCCCGTATTTTTCAACTAATATTCCGCGTAATTCTTTATAACCGCGATTTACGCGCCGCAGTGAAACAAATTAACCGTGGAAACATAACCATTCCACGGTTTCTATCTCGTAATTCAACTCGTGAACCTCCTAACCAATCTGCGTGGAAGTCATCTTGCTTGCGAGGATAAAATGTCACGGTGTCTCACGAAATAAACGTACGAAATTGATAGTAGATCTCCAAAAGAAAGAAAGATCCACGGAAAATCGGTTCATCTCTTAATCGAAGGAATATTTTCTCACCTATGTTAAAACGATTGTATCTAGAATAATTATATATGGTAATTGTTTTCATATGATGTACCGGTAGATTGTCACATTCATAATGTTTCTCGTGATAACGGAATATATATATATATATATATTTCCGCGTGATGGAATATACCGCAACGTTCATTGTGTACATGTGGCTGATGGTTATTGAATTGCACTCGTATATTACCATAATCATTGCTACTATTGAACAATTTGACACATTCTTTTTACTGAGACATCTTCTTTATTGTGACTAGTATGTATTTTAAACGCAATTCACTTATAATGAATGCAATTACAGTTGCTCGTGAAAGTATTCGAACACGATAGAAGAAATATAATATATGTATGTGTGTTGCATAAAATATTTTGAAATTTTATTATTATGATGTATTAAAATTTAAAGTCAATTTGAAAATATACGGGAAAGTAGATAGATAGAAACATAAAAGTATACAGAAATAATTATATTTAGTAAAAAGTTTCTATACAAGAATAATCTAAGTACATAATGTGTGTTAAAAATGATCTTATCGAATATAAATATTAATATAAATATATTTGGTAAAAGATTAATATGAGTGTCAAACATGAATCTATTAAATATTGACATAATGCGTTTATATATTTCTGTGATCTTTGCGAAATATAAGTATACTTGTAATATATTAAAGAGATATAATCGTGATAGTTGAATCTTACTACGGTGTTAACGAAATATTAAAATTTATATTTAAAAAGATTGTCAGCGTTCGAGTATTTTTATGAGCAACTGCGTATTTTAATTAGAATGGTTTTCTTGGTACAACGCAGAAACTTCGGTTAAAGCTTTGCCTCCAAAGCAAAATGGTTCCGGTGATTTGTCGTTGCGATTGTTTGGAAAATGAATTGCTCGAGTGACCCCAGCGCTTTTTACAATTTATCACTGCCACTAAATAGATTTATTTACGAAACGCGGGCGGCATGCACGTGCCGCGAACGAAAACGTTGCGTCACGCAACGAAAACAAATACATAATCCTGTTGACGGACTAAACAAATAATTCTATCTGGCAAAATTCGCTTCTGATGCGAACGTACGTACATACATGTTTATTGTTAGTATTAGATAGAGTGAAGAGCACAGCTGAATCATTAACAACAGTTTTTGCACAAGTTGCTATTAATAATTATTGTTGTTAATATTGAAAAATGAGCATATAATGATGGACACACTCGACGAAGAATTGTCGGTGCTTTAAGCTGTTATAACTTTGTGAAAAAGAAAAAAATCGAACAACAATCCAGTTGACCTCATTTTTAAGCGTGAATTCTCTGCTTTAACAACACCGAGTTCGATTCATTCAAAGATGTTTTCACATCGTGCAGCAGGCGAAGAAATAAGAATATTCTTGTTTTAGAAAATTGTAAAAATTTAATGGATTCTGAAATCATTGAAAAATTTTTTTCACGATCCGTCATCGTCTTTTAAAAATTGAAATTTCTCCTTTACACCGATCTCTTCTAGTTTTTTACATATTTTATATTTAGAGGATTACTTTGGCAGTAATCAGAATAAATTTCGTCTCATTGTTCTGTTTTCAGTTCTGTTATCAATTCAAAAATCGATATTAATGGAAATTTGTTGTTGCAATTATGATTATGACTGTCTGATTTTAAAAATCTCCACAGATTCTCAATTGGGAAATGGATGGAATATGTATAAGCCACGCTAGTATAACAGATTTTCATATTCTGAATTTTACGCATTACGCCGTGAGCTTTTCGATTGCGTTGCAATGTAACAATTCTTCAGAAAGCAGAAAACTTCAGAGAACATACATATGTCTGTATTTAATCTAAATTCATTTTAACTAATGAACATTTTATTGTAGTAATATAGTAATATTGGATATTGAGATATAAAATGAAACTGACTATAAAATGAAAATTCGGAGACTATACTCGTTGAAATAACAACTCACTCGTGTCTAAATCAACGTTTATTACAGGCGAATAAAAAATATTCTTCGCTTTGAAAAATTATTTACACTAATATTAATTGTATAAAATGTTTCTTTCATAATCAATAAAAAATGATCGGGGAAAGTTGTAATTGTTTGTTCGGTTACATTTTTAATTGTAACGTTATACATAAAAAATAAAAACCATCCAACGAAGAAAACGTCTTGTCGTTCGAGTAGCAAACCAAGCAAATGAGACAGACAATTCACAGTTGAAAAAAAAAAAAAAAGTATTTCTCGAAGAACTTTTGTGTCGTGTCGTGTAAAGGAAACCAACGAAAGTCCAGTCGGAGAATGCGATTGTTCTCCACAGTCGGTCTCACACAGCTTCGTCCTTGGACGAGTACGCAGGATTCTCGCAGGACTTTCTCGTGTCGTAGGCCAGCTTCGAGTCGTTCGACTTTCGTAGCTCGTTCTTGCTTGTGCCGTTTCTGCAGATCACCTCGTTGGACTTGGCTGGCACGCTGATTACTTCTGTCAGCTGCATCGCTGCGGCGAATCTCAACGCCTGCAAGCAGAATCGTCACCGCTCGTGAAACTTGGAAAGTTGTTGTTTAACGATGCACGGTTCAGGGGACTCGCGTGTTTCCTGTGTTGACGAGATCGAGGTATGAAACGATGTTTCACGCTGAACGAAGGAAGAGAGCACGTGCAGGCGCAGTTTGAGGCAAAAAATGTCGATCGTAATGAATCATTGAGTTATTGGAGTTTCTTTTTCCGCGCTTGTAAACCAAGCAGAAGTATCTAGGTTGTAAAAAGTGAGTTGGAGAATGTGGGAAGCCTGGTGTATTTAGAATGCTCCTTTTTCTTGGGTTATTCAACTTTATTCTTTAATTAGTAGCTTTGTTCTTTAATTAACAGATTAGAGGATCTTTAGACATATGTTAGGAATTTCTACGGCCATTGAATTAGGATCATTCAATTTTTATCATCTTATATATCTGTAATAAAATTAACGAATCTAAATGTAATTTAATTATGAACTGTATGGTAGACACATACATATACTATGCGTTTTACACATAGATACATATTAACCTTTGGTATTCGTATTTAATTTTTGTACAAATGTTTTGTTAGTTATGATTAATTTTCATTGAATGAACTTCCTGGCACAATACACCATTTCGCTTTTTTTTCACAGTGCAAAGTCAATAACATATTTTCAAAAATTCCATTGAATTTCTCCAATATTCTAACGTAAAATGTTCACTTGTTAATTAATTTAACCGCACAATAATTTTAGAGTTAAAGTACGTCTCTGAGTTTTCTAACCTACTTAAATAAACGAAAAAAAAAAAAAACGAATGAAAGTTATTACACAATAACAGTTGCAAAGGAAATTCGATAATTTGACAAGGTTAAGAAGATTTTTTTGCGAGCGGAGGAAAGTTACAGCTTTCGCGTCGCGTAATACGACACAATTAAGTTGGCCTCCGGTTAATAGAAACGTCCAGTTAATAGAAGCGAGTTCAGTCAAAGAAATTGCATTTTCACAGTTTCCAGCAAGACTGTGCTTAAACGACACGAAAATCCGCGGAACTAGCACCGTTTCCAGCCCTCGTAAATCACGTATCCTACCTACGAGTAGATAACCCCGTTTTATGTTATCAACTAACCTTGTTCCAGTTTAGACAAACTTTCTGCGCGCCGTTTAGCTTCGCCGTTTGTTGCTCATTTTTACCTATGCGATTTTCATCGTTTCCGGTTTAACCAAGCGATAAAACTTCCATTTTCGTCGATCGTTTCGCGCGTTCGAGTCATTTGTCGGTTTCCTGAAATTCTTCGCGAATTTCATATCTGTAGCGAAGGCTTCTTTATCCGAATACCTTATTATCCGAACAAAATCTTTACTATTAATTAGACCGCAGATTTTACACTTTTACGAGAAAAAAAAGAAAAAAATAAAAATAAGGAGTAAAGAGGAACTTGTTTCAGTTATTAAATATTGTAATAAATACTCTAGTTCTATATATATATTTTTTTGCGTCTTTTTAGCTCCAAGTTTCCCAAATTTTACAAATGTATAAAAATTCGCAATCTACTAATAATAGATACCTCTTCGTACTATACAGGATGTCTCAGTATTGAAGATGCAGCTGAGTAGGAAATGATAAAAAAATAAGTTGAAAATGAGGAATACAATTTTGTCGTTTAAAGCATCGTTTTGAGGAAAATCAATAATAATAATCAATTTGAATTTAGATTAATCCGGTCATATCAAATGATATCGCGATTTTCCACAAAATCGCTCAGCTGACAATAATTTTTCGCAGTCGAACACAGCGGGCAGAAGTTAAAATACACGTGATCGTTTAACTGTTAAAAATAATTTCGCAATCCAATGTGCAATGTGCATTTTTCCGTCATGTGAGAGATGTTCACTCGAATCGTGCCTGCGCAGTGAACAATTAAAAATATCTTTGAAAAAAATATCTCTGAATTACAGAGAAAGTCACGAGGAAAATTCTGTAAAGAATAAGATAGAAACGATAATTAGATGACAGAAAATTTTATATAAATGGATCAAATAGGATTATTTATTCCAACATTCCAATTATAGTGTAACACATTCTAATATAAAATTTAGGTAGTAAATCTAGATTTGGATATTAAAGATTCGGAGAGTAAATTTTTTATGAATGAATTTTGAACCAAAGAAAAACAGACTCTCAATTTTGAATTTGTTGTATGTTTTCAGCGGCAAAAGGTGTATTGTAGAATTCATGTTTTTGAAGAAAATAATCCTACAGACTTTCCTAAATACAATAATATACGAAATATCACGTAATCCTACAGACTTTCCTAAATACAATGATATACGAAATATCACGTAACTGATGATACAGCCGGCCAGAGAGTGATTTTACGTGAAAAAATAAATCGAAAAAGAATAATAAAATTTTCTTTATTTAAGACTATGTTTTCAAGGAAATCGATTTAAAAATTTATCAAGTATATTGACAGGAATGAATGATCAATAGGAAATTACTCTACGAAAATGTACTTTGAACATTTTTAATAGAGAATTAGCTTACCACATGTATACTTAATAAATTTTCAAATTTAATTTTCTGAGAAACGAAGCGTCTTCTGAAAAAACTTCTTGATTTATTTTTATATCTTATAACTTCCTGTTGATTATTCATGCCTCTTTCGAATTAGCCAAAATAAACATCAAATGAACACCAGTTATTTTCGAACTTGCTGATTTCCTTGAAAGCGAAGCCTCAATTGTAAAAATTATATTCTTTCTTTCTACGCCTGTTATTTTTCTCTCTTCCTTGGTTGCACCACCATGACGTATTCTATAAAATTTAAAGTTCGAACGCCCTTGCTCCAGTTTAGATAAAAGACACATACGATGGAATTGTAGAATTGTTTCTTGCAAACGGAAATTGTACGCAGTTGAGTGACTATGTACACATATCGATGTAACAGCTCGAAGTGAATCTCGTTGTAGTTTCTACCAGTTCGAGGTGCACAATCGTCGAACGACACAGCTTCGTCGTTCATGTTAAAAAAGGGAATTTCGCGTGGTCGATACCTGGCCAATGCAATTTGTTTCTGCACCATCAGCGATGCTACATTCAGCCTCGTGACTTATTTTAGATCAAGATTAAACTGAAAAACGAAAAAACTTGTCCAATTGCGAGGTTGTCGGTTGCTGGCGCAAATCGATCCCTCTCGCTTTTTTCTGCACTCTCGAAACGACGTTTATTTCCGAACTTCATCCCCATTCAATTACGCGTTTCATCCGAGCAGTTTACGGAGGGAGTTTCGCTCGCGCCTCGCCCTATCGGCCGACTTTCCACGAAAATTGAACGGAAATTCGCCGATGGACGTTTCGGCTGCAACTCGTTGCCACCACGATCGAGTTAAGAATGTGTTTATTACGCCATTGATGACAATGCAACATACCGAATGAAGTGAAATTAGGTGAAAACGAAAGAAAATGATCAGGTTGATCGTAAAAATACACTTTTAACTCTTCGAGAACGACGTCTGATTTAGACATAAATTACGTTGTACAATAATCATATTTTGTTAGTATTATTAATAAATTTTAAATCAACGAATGTTAAGGTTGAATAGAATTTACACGAATTAGATTAGTATATAGATTAAAGCAATGATTTTTTAAAGAAATTCGAATGAAAACTTGTTGCACAATCTGGCACATTGAGTAACAAAAAATTATTCTTCGAGAACTAGTAATGAGCATAAGTACACATACTTTCATAACTGACTGTGTATTATAAAATTCTCGAGGGAGAGTTCAAAAGTTCAAAAATTTTAAAATCAAAAGGAAAGTGTTTTTTAAAGCACACAAGAAGTTTCTGATTTGACGGGAGTTCAACGAAGTTTAAAGAGCTAAAGAAAGATAGGCGTTGCAGAAAATCATCTGACTTCGATGGTTTATGAACAAGAGCCAAACTTCTGTCTCGGAAGACAAACAACCAAGAGAAAAAATTCGAGTGCCTCTGGCCTTTCATCCACGTTAGTGACTCTCATTTGAGAACATTTCCCTGAAAAATCGAACACTCTTTGGCCTGTTTGCACGCAGTCTACTATTGCGCTTTATTAAAAAATATTGCGCCAATTTTTGTAATTCACGAACGTGTGAATTTTTTTCCTTTCATTGGGATTCTATGAAAATTGTTGAAGCAATGAAATCAATCATGACGTATTTTGCTTAAATACATAGTATATCAAACGTGATCGACACGATCTTCGCCCTCTGATATCATTTTATATTTCAAGAAAAGAGAAAGTGATGTGAGTTTACCATGGAAACTCTCCTAAAAATAGGAAGACGAACGGCACAAAGAACGCGTCTGCGGTGAATTCTGAAGTTCCCTGCAAACTTTGCCCCAGTATTCGGTCGAAGATGCTGTAAACATTTAACGAATTCATTGGCATTTGTCCAGTTGCGCGAATGTCGAGCAATCGTTGACTGGAGCAGTTATTTTGCGGTCATAATTTAAAACTTGATGCTAGCGTTGTGAGAGAATCCAAAACTGTCGGGTCGGTTATCGAGTCGAGAATTTCTTTCGGTATCGGGACAAGTTTGCGAAGGTATTTCAAAACTCTAAAATATCGGGATTCCCGAGAATTTCGAGAACTCGAAGCATGTTCACTATAAAATGAGGGATTCTGAAACGCGTTAAAAGTACAAAATGCAAATAATTGTACTCGACGTGCTTCGGGCGCTTGATACTCTTGGAAATTCTGATACTTCCGAGTCTCGAATTATTCGAATCTCGCCTGTCTCAGGTAACAGGAATAAAATTATTGTTTAGGAAACTCTTTCTTTCTTCCTAACTTCTCGTCCCAACTTTCTAACGAATTTTCTAACAAATAACAACGGAAGTTGTTGGCAAAAATTCTTTGATGTCCGCTCAAGAGGGTGTTCTTGCACGTGTAAGGAGGTCAGGGTCATTGGGTCAGTGGGTCCCGTCATATTCTCAAATTTTCAAAAACCTCATTACCTTCCGTCTGTCCCTGTGAGCGGAATACAGAATCCAGATAATGTAGCACGCCATTATTATGGCCGGTATGCAGACACCGGCTATGGTGGACGCTTCTCGCAGGAGTGCGTGATGCACAGCAAGTAGCATGATTGCCAGCACGGCCCCACCGGCGACGTACCTTCCAGTCCGACGTCCTTCGTCCTGTCAACAAATGACAAATATACAGGCGATATTCCGTCAATTTTATGCGATCGTTCATCCCCTGCCTTATAATCAAACTGTGTACTTTTCGCATAGTGTTAGCATCAACGTGTTAATTAAGTCCTTGCTAAATTCAAATATTTTCTCAATGTGCCATGATTCTCGTCCATTGTACAGAATTGAATAATTAAAAATTGCGCGTAATATTTTGTAAAAATTAAATATACACATATACGACAAAACGTATATATGAATCTTCCAGTCTGTTAATCGATTACACTTTAAATTCTTCTGTTTACTCAAAATACTGCCATTTCCACCCTTCCATGTGGAAATGGACAATTTAAAAATTGCATTTTAATAGAAAATTCAGTCTCCTTTCGGAGAACACCACGAACGTGACTCATTATTGTAAGACGAGGGATTAAGTTCTTCTGTCGAGATTTCTCCAACAGACTAAATCCCTTGAAGGAAGATATTTTCGCGCTTTGTTAGTCTAGAAAAAATTTTCGCGGTGGTTCTTTCAGAAACGTTCCTACGTGGAATGAACGATGATAACATTAGTAACAGGACGATGTATACGAACGATGTAATAGAAAGCAAATTCTAAAGGAAAGATGCTATCTTTGATATCGACGGAAAATTTATTTACGATTGAGGAAATGGGAGCAGTAACGTGCTTGAGAAGAGAATAAGTACATCTTTGGAAATGGAGCTGTGAAAATGACTGTATCTCAGGAAAAAATCATATTGAAATATAGTATTGTTTAATTAATACGTTGATATTCTAATGATCTCGGTTATTTGAAACTGTTTAACGATAATTATTGTCGCAATTGCAGTATTTCTTAATTGATAAATTTTAATGAATCTACCTTTGATCGTACATTTGAATATTGTCGAAGAAATTGAATCTTGAATTTATTTATTTGAACTTGAACTTCTATTGTATGAATAAAAAAATCACTGGTGAACGAAAGAATTATATAAACTCTTACTATATAAATTGTTGTTGGCGAAATTCTACTGTGTCTTTATAAAAAAAAGAATTACTGTACCTTTGTAGAAAGAGATTATTATACCTTTATAAAAGAAATTGCATGAAAGTTGCAGTCTTCTCATCAGATGAAATTCAATGGCGTTAGGGGACTTTGTCCCCTCGGAACGAAAGAGGGAAAACCACAGAGGACAGAAGAGTCGGTATTAAATTTTGGGTAGCGATGGCCGGCCGAAGTGACAGCTCCATTTCCATTCGTGCGACGCCGATGCAATTTGACCCGTCGCGAGGCTGCTTTGCATTCAGCGCGCACACGCGTTCACCCGCACCATCACCGATACATCCTAACACGTTTTCCACTTATTATCGTATTCAAATCGAAGTACCGGCGGATGTACGTACTTAGATAGTTGACACACTTTTTGTCGTCGATTTATTTTGTCGTAAGTCACGCGCCCAAGCAGAAGTTTGCACGACAAATACGCGAATCGACTGCACCGTGTCCACCATCGCTGTTCACATTTGCTTCGACGATCGAATCTATTATTTTTCCCCTTGCTTGCAATGCTCTCGAGAATAGTTTGTTCTAGTATACTAGTATACTAATTGTGTAGTTTCTTCTTAGTAGTTTGATTCGATGTGAAGGACCTTTTCTTTCGTTTCGATGGAAAAGAATAAAAATGAGATTTTTTGTTGAAATTTTGCGTTGAATAGATTCGAAATGTATATATTGAATTTTAGTATTTATGTGTTGAATATTACGTGATGTATCTTTTTTGCTATCGAATCTTCTTTCTTATAAGTGAGTAATGGACGAAGTAATAAATAACTATCAGTGTGTAATCATCTCTTTGTAATCATCTCATTGCTTGCTTTTTTTTTAGTAATTTATTCTAATCTAATTGAAGAATTGTTTCAATTAAGTAATGCTCTTAACTAACGAAATTTAATAATACTAAACTAACAATATCGATTCTAACATGTTCAAAAATTATGCTGATTTAAAAGATCGTTGTACCTCACAAATAGAGATAGAGAGAGGGGAAGAAATTGATATAAACTATTCTCAAATAAATCTGACGAACTCGTTAATGTTTGTAAATGCAAGATAAAAAGATATATTACATGTATATGTAGAAACTTCCAATTGAAGTTTAGAATAGAAACTACTATAGGGACACGGTTTCCCATTTTCACCGCAACGCGTGACCCGTTTTCCCTGCGACACATATTGCACGAAAACAAAGGATTAACATTAACAACGCGACTCTCCTCGTATTTTTATTTGGCAAGAGTGTGTTGCATGAAACAACGCACGAGAGCCGAAACTTTTCACCAAGTGAAATACATTGCCACGGCAGAAAAAAGTTATGTTTTAAAGATTTCATTCTGTGAAATTGTGCGCGTGCAATATCTCTTTTTCTCACCATGAGGTATCGTTATTCCACAACATAATAGAAAAAGAGGAATTTTTCATTCACGACCAACTGTTTGGAAAAAAAGTTCGTCCTATAAAAATTGACGAATAACACGACGTTAAAGTCATCCGTCTGTCTTTGAGCTTCCAGAGAAAATTGCAGCCCCTCCTCCCCCTCCCGATTATTCAATTAGGATATTCGTAGTGTTTAATGTCAAATTTTGTTAATAATTCGTTATAATTTTCTTTTCGTAGTGCAAAGTTTGTTTCTTGTATGAATATTTAATTTGTGCTCAATTACTCGTTGCGTATGATAATACAGATAACGATAAATAATAAAATATCATGTACAGTATCATGTGCAATGTAAAATGTAGATTATTAATACGTAGGTGTATATGATACTTTAATAATTAGTGAAATTTATAATTAAACTCCATTCAAATTCTACAATTGAGGAATGTTAAATATTATTGTCCTTAATTTAATAACCAGAGGCTGTACACCAGCGATGCACAAACCCAACCATCAATCTCTCTCTTCTGCCCTTATTGTACAAACAATTGTTAAGCCAAAAGAAAAGAAGAAAAAAAGAAAGAATATAACGGGAAGAGAAATACAGATACTAACTCTCTATCTCGCTGTTTTTACTTTTAATTTTACTTTTAATCGAGTTAAATTTACTGTGCAAATGATATATATGAAATATAATTTTAAAAAGTTCCGCAAACAAACAAAAAGAGAATTAAACTGATCACAAGAGATCCTCGTGCTGAAAAAATTTTCAAAACGGGCCATACGCAAGCTGCGAGTATGCATCACTGCTGTATATGGTTGGAGAAGTTCAGCCGATCAAAGCGGGGCGCGTGGGATCGGACCGAAACTGTTCTAAATTTTGAGCAAGCGAGTTGTGGAAAACAGTTTGTGCCAAAACCCTTTTTACGACACCTTTCCCTTCAACTTTGCCCTTTCGAAATCACCATGCCGCTATTAATCGCGTAGACATCGAGAATATTGCGGCGAAGATAGAACTGACGGACAACGTCAATATTGCCTGAAAATATCGTTGTGACGAAAGATCATGGTGTAAAATGGTGAATTAAAAATACGCGTGTTTCTGAAACTACATGCGTAAATATAACCCTTACGAGTATGTTATTCGAGTATGTTAATATTATATTAATGATCATGCAAAATAAATTTGAACACAATCACCAAAGTCTACGCATATTTGTCGAATTTTAAAATCAATTATAATTATTAACATTAAAAAGAACCATAGTAGATTTTACGATATTTTTGCGTTGTCTAATTAACAACTATGAGAAACACTGTCACTTTTTCAAAATATAACTTCAACATGAATAAACTAATATGTATAAAATCTTTTTTTTTTTTTGATATATGAGCAAATGTAAATTTTTGTGACTGACTGTATAAGCTCAATGAATCTGTTCAAGATCGACATCAAATCAATCATTATAATATTACAAATAATAACAAATCAACGGAGAAAATGGATATAAATACTAAACAAATAGAAAAAGATATCGTCATTTCTCTAGAATTTTTAAATTAATTAGCGTCAAAATATCTCTTTAAATATCTCTTCCAAATATCTCTTTAAATATTCGAAATATGCCTATTCGATATATGTGGAATATATCGATGTAGAATAATTCAACGTACGTAGACTTTCGTAACTCTATATTAATGTGTGTATCGTATATTTTAGTACACGTTCATCCGTGTACATCCGTATATTAAAAACTACACGAATATTAGAACGCAAGTACATTAAATATACGTGTAACCAATGTTCTATTATAATGGTACTAACCGTGGTTGCAACAGTATTTAGGGTGTCCCTCGAAGAGGATGCGTTCGATCTGGGAGGCATGGTCCTGACAATAACATAAATCAGCTTCGACCGACAGATTTAAATAATCCTCAACGATAGAAACGTCCCGATGGAATTGAGTTGCTTTTGCGAACATAGATCATCGATACTCCCTCGTCGTGATTCAATCTCCCGGTCGTTCTTCTCGTTCTAAGCGGCGACATGAATCATTGCCAGCCAAAGGACACCTTGCAACATGACCAACGTTCTCCTATGAAACATTTTTTATTGTACACGATATCTCACTAGGTCTTTTTTTTTCTCCTTTCTTCTTTCGGTGCACACTCCTTGAAAATTTTTACTACGTGTCGCGAATTTCGAGAAACAGACGTTACTGAAAATGTCTAGTAAAATTTACTTAGCACACCAGCTGTTAAAACCGAATATCCTGTGTTTACAACAGTCGTGGTTCGACTCTTTGAATGTTTTAGTTCGTGCTAGAGTATTTAATTTGTTTAGGTAATTCGGTATAACTGTATATGATCAGAATTTTCTTTAGTTACGAGATGAAAAGATCATTGGTTAGTTGTTATTATTTGTTCTAATTTAAAATCCGGGAAATAATAATCGTTAGAAACAAGCTAGATGGTATTTTTGCAAGAGAGAAGCAATAAGCAGGAAGAATAAAATTTTCAATATCTGATGCCGTACGAATATGTAACTTCAAAGTTATATGACGTTATAGACGGTTAAAATAATAGTAGTCTGCTTATTAGAAATTCAAAGAAGATTCCCTTGCAGTCAGAAAAAGCATACGTGCACTTTTATTTCGTCATATGTTCCTCATTCGGTGTTCAGATTTTGGACTTCTAGTAATTTTAGCAAGCAGTCAAAAAGTTAATTCGAAAAAGATTACAGTGGCAGAAGAAAACGCGAATCACTGAGAAAATCACTGCGACTTTTAATATCCAGCATACGTGATTCTTTGTCCAACGTTCATTCACTGATTTTGAAACACTGAGCAGATGCAGTATTATATAAAAATATATATAAAAATCACTGTAACCTCAGACGTTCAGCCTTTTGCTTCGTTTCGTTCAGCATTCATTCACTGAAGAAATATAAAATATATTGACTTTAAAACGTGCAAGACTAGTAGTACACAGAAATATATATAAATTATATACAGAAATCTTGAACATCCAACGTCCACGATCTTCAAATTTCTTAAAATTTTAAAACTTTTTATCTCCGTCTAACGTTCATTCACTGGAAGATACAATCACTCCGAAACACACTGGACTAGTAGAGTGTAGAAATCTTGAAAATCCAAAATTCGTAAAAATTCTAATGTTCTCCGGCTTGTTTCGTTGAATATTTATCCATTGAAAAATGTGCTGAACTAGTAGAACCTATGATCCATGAACTCTTACAATCTTTGGATACTTAAAAAATCCTAAAGTCTTTCGCCTCGTTTCATTTAACGTTCATTCACTGACAATGGAGAGATGCAATCACTTTGAAACGAATTGAACTATCAGCAATTAGCAATCTCACCTTTTTGAGCTCGGTCGTTCCTTCAGCATTGAGCGTGTCGTAAATATATTCACAACGACCACGTTCGTTTTGTAAATGCAAGAAGAAGATTTGAAACAAAAGGAAACATCGAGCAAAATTTTTCTAGAAAGGTTCACCAAGTTCACGATCGACGATCACGACATGATTGATATCTCGCGTACACTGGACGCGTTGATCCTCGCGATCGATGGTGGCTGAAACTGGCCTCGCGAGAGAGTTTGGAAAATGAGAGAAGAGGCGTTCTGAAGGAAGGATGTATCGAGGGAACAGTGGCAGCCGCGCATTTACAACGCTGCCGGCACAATATAATCCAGGCAAACTAGCTAGCATAATAAACGAATAACACGACGGATCAACACACCCACGTAGACAGACGTCTTTCTTTCTCAAACATGGCGCGGTGCGTTGCCTTGCGTTGCATTGCGTTGCGGAATGAATCTGAGGATCGAAGATAAATGTCTTTGCCAAAATTAGACGAACCTTTCCTCTGGTGTTTGGCGAACGTTGGAGGCCGAATACCTTTGGTAAAATTCCTCCGTTAGGAAGATTGACGTTCCATTAGGTTGGCTGGAAAGTAACGTCGCATTTTTTGTTTACGAAATGGTTTTATTTCACGTAAAGATGACTGCTTTTAACTCTCGACCCACGTGAATTTCTCTGAAATTAAAAATGTATTGAAAAAATAAGTGAAATTAAAAGTCTCCGATTCGAATGAAATATGAGAGTTAGTATTATTGTAACGTCGTTATGCACGGTTCGATTTAATTTGATGTTAAAAATCTTCTTAAATTATTAGGAATTGTTTTTGTTTTTACTAAATTGACTAAAAATTATTTGAGAATATAGAGTTTCTTTGATGAAATTATAACAAATAGATATGCAATCACACACAAAAATTGAAAAATTTAGTATAAAAAGGATTTGTACCACAAGATGTTGAAAAATGAGATTTTTGTTAATTCTGGCATCTCTTAGTGTTCAGATCAATTTATAAATACTCGAGAAAAATATAAGAAACAACAATTTAATTATTTAATTATTTATTTACTATTAATTATTATTTAATTATTTATTTACACTTGCATTACAACACCGCTCTTCACGTTCTTCTTAATAAAGTTTTTCTTCTTGCAAACATACCTTTCCAAATTACGTCACAAGGCTGGAATATATCTTTTAATAATAATCTCGTATTAGTGAATAAATTGCACGAATTGTTATTTTTTACTCAATTTTACATGTTATATCTGTCAATATATGCTAACATGTTAAAACGCAGCGAAGCTGACGATAAACCGTGTTATGCCGAAATCGAATTAACGTTGTTCCTGTGGTCCATGAGGGAGTTTGGAGCGGAATGTTGACTCCCGGAGCATCTGATTGGAGATGCTCGTGAAATTGAATGCTACCCGCGTGAACTGTTCTATCGCAAATTCTGTTCCACGAATATTCGATACCTCGATGAAACTGTTGTATCTTTGATTAAAGACAAGGAGCTGTCGTGACACCGTTCAGTGTTACATATTTCGCTCGAAATTTTATATGAATTTCTATACTAATATAATACACCATTATACAGAGAGTTTAAAATACTTTTTATTTTTAATATTTAACCAGTCAATAATAATAGAATAATATTGTGTAATAGAACTGTCAATGTAAACTGTCAATTTTTCCTTCAAAATAAATATTAAACGTAAAATATTTAAGTGTAAGTGCCACTTGTAATTAATCAAGCAACAGTCGGTGGATATTGGCTTCAATAATTTAAATATAATACACACAATTTAATTTAAAATAAAGATTTCTATATTTCGATAAAATATAAAGGCTACAATGGGAGATTCACATTCTTTATTTTTGCACAGCGCAGTGACTTTAATTAATTACAGATACATTTTGATAAATTATTCTCCCAACCGCAGAATAATAACAAAGCTGAATACAATGTCATTATTAATATAATATACGTCGTACATTGACGACACTCGTGTTTCAAAAAATTTTCATTTTGCCATTTGCATAAATTTCATTCTTAATGAAAGTTAATATTTGAACGAACAAGAATTAAGGACTTAACAACAACTCAATTTTTATGAAATAAATTATAAAAAGTGTGTCTGTCAAAATAATTGTGAATAAAATAATTCCCAGGGAGACAATTGCAGATAAATACAAAGCCGATCTTCGGACAGTAAATATAATAATAAACAACGAATGTAGAGTAAACGATAAAAAGCGTATCCTTCTTGCGCAAATTCTATCTTCAAACACGACTTCAGAACCGGAGAATGGTAGCAAATTGGAGCGATTTCGTTAAACCATAGTCCTCTGAAATAACCGTCGTTACGCCGGTGGTCATCGTGCTGTAGTTCGTTCAAACCTCCTAATAAAGAAATAAAAAGGACCTATTCAGAGAAAGCCCACGAAATGTCTTGGCAATCAAATAAAGGATTCGTCGTGTCGTTTCATCGGGACGTGGCAATAAGGTTGCAGATATTCGATCAATTTCTTCCATCTAGCACGGGCTTACGACATCGTCCCCGGCACGGCGATTACGTGATTATGTTTCCGTGTGTCCTTTCCTTCCTTCCAATCGGAAGAATCGTTCGCCTTGTATCCTTTATGACGTCGGCCAACCCCTAGTCGCGTCAATTTTGTGCCAGGCATACAGATCGTCTCTCTTAACGGGGACAATTCCGTGGAGTATTCGAATCACGTCGTGTCCGCTTTTCAATCGTACGAGCAAACCAAGTCGTTTAACGCTAGGGTCGCGGCTTCATCGTTCTCTGTTTATGCACAATCGAACGACCGGTAAAAGAAAAGAAAAGAAAAGTGCGTAATTGACGTTTAATTTACTTGGCACGAACAAATTCGCTGATGCGTTTTAAAAGTGGCTTCGCAAGGATATTTGTCACGAAGTTAATTTACATCGTGAGGCTTGTGACTATGATGGATAACAAGCTTAAATATTTTTATGACTTTTGCATTTGCAGGATACTTTGTCTAAAGTTTTTCACTATAATTAATGATAATTTAATATCATTGAAACTGTTATTGCTAATGAAATGTTTGGTACTAATGAAATTCAGCAGATGATGACAGATCTTTACTTGAATCTCTATTTATTTAATTGAATTGACTGAAATATCAATTTTCGTAGAAATGAAGAGTCTACGCATAACCAATATTTCCATTATTGTGTATGCTTTTGTACAATATGGTACATATATTGCTTTGCCACTGACATTTCATGTCACAAACAAATAAACAATATATACGTGACCATTTTGGTAAATACGAATTTCGCGTCTAGTCTAGATTAACCCATTGACGCGCATTCCACTTTCACGGACTGTTTCCACAGATGGTATTATCTCGCGAAAATACATCGTCGAACTAAAAACACAAATTCGAAACGTTAAATTCTTTTTTCAGATACAAAACCATTGTCCGTCGAAAATATATTTATGCACGTGGTACGTTTGTTTTTACTATTTTAACAAAAATGTGTATACATGACGACGACGACGATGTCAGTGTGTTAAAAATCCTGTCTCGTGTGAGCCGCTACATACAAATCTATATCTTTTTTCTAAAACGCAGTGGTAAACTATGGCGAATTTGACGCAAAAGCGTTCCCTTGCACCGAGCCTAGCAAAGAACGTTTTCGTGACCTTAATAGAAAACCAGGTTGACCAATGAAGATCGTATCTAGTACAACGAACTCGAAAAGTTTTCGGCTGTCTGGCTCCCCCTCTGTCTTTTTCCTTTATTTTCTCCGTCTTTGAACTTCTTTGGCTGCCTCGCTGCTTTCTTGCTTCTTCTGTACTGTGACCCAGTTGGTGACGTAAGAATTCAAGATCGTGGATAGATGGAAACGATAGTCGAGTTTTCGGCGTTCTTATCGGTTGTCGCGCTTTTCCCCGAGTTCCTTTCGCAAATAAAAGAGAACAACAACATGTAGATTCCAGTAAGACGCGATGATAAACTATAGTTTCGATCGCGATTCAAACGGTATAGAATGAAGTTAATGGACCTGAAGTGGAGTGGAGTTAATGTTCATTTTGAGGTTCTCGAATGTAAGCGACAATTCATTTTAAATAATTAGCGAAATAATTTTTTCTAATTATTTAACTTTAATTATTTTAGGAAGCAATTCATGTCTAATAATAATCTTATATATGCTTCATTTTTTTTTTAAATACTGTCTACTTTCTATAAATCCTATAAATTTCCCCAAAATATCTTCACCATCATAAATCGAGTTTTGTGTTCAACAATAGATATTAAAGAATTGTCAAATCATTTTCCAGCATGATAAACGCACCGAATAAATATTTATTTATTTAACCCATTAAGAGCTTAACTTTAAGAGAAAGTTGGTTCCAAATATTTGTTTGTTATCTTTTCGGTCATTTTTTTCATTTAGATCCTACAACTTGATGAAATTTCAAAAAATTGAAGTAAATCATTGCTTAGCCCTCAATGGATGAAAA